TTATTTTTATTTAAATTATTTAAATGTAACATTGAATAATAATAATAATAATATATACAAATCCCCTTGTTTCCCCAATTAAAACTATGTAAAAATATCTGGACAACTTGTAAAACCGCCCCAAAGAAAAATGCAATCCAAATAATATTTCAAAAATAAATAATTCTTTAAAATCAAGTGTATTACGAAAGTATTTAACAAAACATTGCCTTTTAATCCACGCCATGTAGAGAACAAAACATAATTTTGGGAATATAACATTTATTTTGAAAATCAGTTGATACAAATTTAAGAATCCCGCATTATTTTCCCCGCCTTCCTATCAAAAAGTCATCGAGCGTATAGTCCCCATTGTTGCCAGATGTACGGGCTTCGTATACTGCGTAATACTTATACAAAGCTGTATATAATCTCGTTTGAATCGTGTGCCCCCTACCGCCAAAGCATTGGAACTAAGGGTGTATATTTTGATAGGTTTGAATGGCATTAGGAAGCCCACCACTTTTTCGCCATTGAAACAAGGGGGCATCACTTAACTCTAAAACAAATTTATACACGCTAATTTTAGGAAGCCCTATTTCGGGCTTCGTAAAAACCGGGCTTCGTTTATACTGCAGAATGTAACGTTTCGGGCTTGGTAATGTAGGATTGCATATCTATATATATATATACAAGGTGTCGCGTATCGTTATGTTCAAATTTTGAGAGCATAAAGTAGACTTATTTTCAGGAAGAAAACCCGCAAAACTTGTATATCAATTTTTATTTGTTTCAAAGTTACAGGCCTTTGAATTATTGGCAAATAATTATGCAAGTTTCTCCTTGTAAATGTAGCTTCATCTGTCCAGAGGACTGTTCTGCAGAAATTAAAATTAAGCCGTGACTGTCGCCACCACATTTCGGAATTGCTGTGCGAAAGTGGGTTACTGTCAACTATCCAAGATGGATTGGTCAAGGTGGTCTTGTTGCCTGGCCACCTAGATCACCCGATCACAATTCCCTTGATTTTTATTTATGAGGGTACATGAAAAATTTAAACTACGCCCAAGTTTCAAATACAAGAGAATAATTATTGAAACGTATTCAGCAGGCTGCCAAACAATTACGACAAAACAAGCACCAAATACGGATAACTATTTTATCTGTTGGCTTACTATTTTATCTGTTGGCTTACGGGCACAAGCCTATATATATTATATATTATATGGATCTTTTATGGTAAAATATACAAATATTAGCCTGAAAAGGGCCATTGCAAGACCTTATCACAACAGCCTTTTATCAAAATTAATATTTTTATTAAATCATTCCTGTAAAGGCCCAGTACAAGAAAAGCTTTGGCTAAAAATGCCATTTAACCATGAAACTATGTAATGGGCCATTCATAATTACACATGTGTTTGCTGGGATTTTGTGTCCTGGTTTTTTATTTTAGAAAGTTGGTCACATTAAAATATCAGGCCATTTAGCGGTGTCACATTTTACTATATAAGAAGCGCTCGATTTAAATTGGGAGACATATGATATTATTTTTTTTATTAAGACCAGTATAAGATTTTCCAAGTAAATAAGTCTTATAACGTAAGAAAATTGTATTAACTAAAAAATATTTTGCAAAGATTAATAATTGATTATTAATTATTAAGTTAATTTACATAAAAAAATGGATAGTTCATATTTAAGTTTTTTTTGGAGCTAGAGACATGTTTTCTCCCCTTACTGAATTTTGTCCCTTATAGTTTTCATTATGATAGAATTAAGTATTGTTGAGCAATTTGACAGTTGAATCCCCTATTATATTTGAGGCCTGTCAGAGCAAAGTCAACAATCTCTGGTATTTTAAATTCTAGATTTGAAATTTTTTTTATACATTATATTAAAATATTGTTGTTGTTAGTCTAGTAGCAAACTACAAGGTCTCCAGGATGCATAGTATAGGTGAAATCTATAATTGAAGCGTGGTAATTCAAAAGCGTCTAAGTGCCACTGCAGTGCTAAGCAAAAAGGAGATTTAGAAAAATAATCAAAAAAATAATTGTATTTTTTCCTTTAATGGTTATAAAATTGAACTATACAATCAATATGGGAAAATTCTGAACTGGACCACATAAATCTGGAGTTTCTTCTAAATCTGGGACCAGGTTGCCTCTTGCAAAAAAAGTTTTTATAGTACAACAACTCATCATCTTTTTCCCACTTTGCCCCGTAACATTATCAGCCTTTTCTTGCTTTACCTTTACGTGTTATTATGGTATAATAGCACAAAATAAACAAGATAACTTGTTTTATAATTCTTAAAACAATAAAACGTATATACGTATTTTAAAAATATTTTTAAGTGCAATTTACTGGAATAGAACTTAACAGTATGTACCAGTAAAAAAACACAAAATTAAATCTCTAAAATACGTTATAACATCAAATGTTAGGATATCAGGTGACACAAATTACTAATTTCTAATGGTGGAATTGGAGATTGTATACTTTGCTGCAAATCTATCAGTGGAGATTGTCGACTTTGCACTAAATGTCATTTTTAAAATAGGATTTTAGGCAGGATTTAGCTCCTTTTGCAGCACATAAACTTTATCATCTTATAGATAATTAGTTGAAGTACAGTCTCCGCCATAGACAAGGGATTGGTTGGGTGGGCGGGAGGTTAGTTAGATAGGCAACTTAGTATTAAAGTTTTGTTCCCTGACTATTGCGCCATCTGGCGGGTGTAGTCAAAAATATATATTAAAATTATTGTTTAAATTTTTTTACTGGATGGTACTGATCCTTTTTTTTACCTCCACTAGATAAATAATTCTAATATTTTTCTAGGAAAGTTCAAAGAGGAATAATAAAACATAATAAAACTATATTTTTGTAATTATTTTATTTGTCAAAAATTCAAAACACAACTTAAAATTATATCTACATCATATGAACTTATCTAACTATTTCATTCCTATTCCTATAATATTATTGTATAAGGTAGAATAAATTTATAAATAAAAGAACAATAAAAATTTTATTACTTGGTGCTTAGAGAATCAAGATATTTTTTGTTATTTGGGCAAAAAGCGGGACATACCTTCATAGATGACCTTATCGTTTTTTGTAAATCGATGCATTTTTACACTATCTCTCCTGCTTTTGCACTTTTGTACACAACAAGAATAAACCATAATAATGAATACACAATACAAACTTAAAAGGTTATAAAATTTAATACTTCACAAATTTAAGTTATTTTTCGTGGTCCTGTCCTCAACAATTACAGACAGGACCACTCAAATAATTAAGATCGATCTTCCTTACAGGTAAGTCGACCAATCTTTCAATTATTCTTTCAAGTCGAACTGTCATTATGACAACGGTAGTCTCGGTGACAAAAACAATTTTGGCGACATTAGCGCCTCTGGCAAGCGTAGTCAAAACTTCTCAGCGGACAAGTTTTTGTACAGTAAAGATGCACAACCATGGTCTCCGCCAAAAATCTAATTTTTGACCAAAAGTGGAGATTGTCGGTTTTGCTATGACAGGCCTCATTTGATACTAGAGGATTCAATTGTATAGTTTTGTTTTGATAACAAACAAAAAATTGGGATCGCGAGTCCAGAGGTTGTCAGGCAAAAAGAGAGACAAGGCAAAAATGTCTGTCAAAAAGAAGAAAAGATAAATTGGAAGAATTAAATAGTTGAAAAAAGGCTCAAATTGATTTGGTAAGTCTGACAATCCCACTTTCTTTTTTGTAATAAATAAAAGAGACAAGTAATATTACTTTTCTCTTTTATTTATTGAAAATAAGAACGTGGGATTGTGGGACTAATTGTCAGACTTTCGTGAAAGTATTCAAAGGAATTAGCAGACACAATTATTATACAGTCCACTTTAAAAGAACTACATGTGTATTTGTAAGCTGGGAATGCAAAATGCCTCTTTTGGGCCGTAAAGTCACATATTTCATTAAAGGTAAAGTTATTGTATTTCTTAGGATTTTTATTTCAAATTTCAAATTTATAATCATATTCTTATACAGTAGTAGTAGTACAATTATATTCTCCATTAACCACGTTTGTTCTACTCAATGTAGCCAATTATAAATTTTGGCTCCCTAGCTTGCCAACAAAACTCCCCAAATTTTTGACGTCAAATTCCGAATTATGAAAAAAAAATACAAAATATATGTTTAATAAACTCAGTGCAATAGAAATTTTGAGTTAAATATATAAAATAAATTAATCGTTGGTAGGGGCAAATTAATTTTATAAAAATGTGCATTTAAGAAACGGGCAAGCAAATTTCTTTTACATTAAGAATCATAGGACCCAAAATGGTTCATTTATGCCAGTTTGTAAAATATGCTCTAATGAAAATAAATTGGATTTCGATTTTTTATTGTTCTGTGTTGATAATAATAATAATAATAATAATAAATAATAATAAAATACTTTATTTTCATCCCAAGAAACATACAGTTTATAGAGGGACACCTCTAAATAGTTGTAAAATGGTAGGTATATCCGTAAATAAAGCTATTATTATTAAATATGTCGAAACTGCAACCAAATATGAAATCATATTTCAGTTTTATTTTTCAGAAATTTGACTTGTCCGCCTTTGATTCTACAACACTTAAATATTAGGTTGTTACAGGGTATCTCAAAAGTCATGGATAGCAGAAAAGGGGTGGATAGGAGATGGAATTTAAGGATGAAAAGTTCTCGTTTTTCGATCTGACGTACCCTTAATAAGTTATTAATTAATTAAAATATCCAATCACAGGTGTGCTTTAACATAAAACTGCTAGTCACATATTTGGAGAGTTATATTATCTTTGAGTTATATTACGCAACGCCTATGATTGTCTACTTAATTGAACTAATAACTAATTAAGGGTGCGTGAAATGGAAAAACGCCAAAAGACGTCTTTGAATAACATCCCCTATTCACCCATTTTCTGCTGTCCATGATTTTTGAGATACCCTTTATATTAAATACAAATATTTTAGGTTGGATTCATGTCCCCATTAAGGATATTCGTGATAGGCCTATACGAGTTTTTATGATTCAGATAGCAGTTACTAGTAATCATCAAAATGGAAGAGATACTCATATGAGACAAATTAAGATTCATAGTCCAATAGATAATCCTGCAATACAACTGGATAATTTTATAACATTTTCAACTGTAGAATTTCAGCAATTTGCTACTATTAGATAATGGGTTAGGTTGGAAGGTAATAAAACAAGGTCCTATTTTTTATATATATTTTTTAGGTAAAAATTACTGCATAAATAATTTTAGTACAAATAACCACTATTATACTTTAAATAATAATAATATAAACCTTTGCTATGTGATGTCTTTAAAATTAAAATTATTAATAATTATAATTCTTATAATTTTAAACATTTTTCCGACAACATGTATTGTTCTACAATTAATATAAGTTATAAATTTAAAAATCCAAATATTTATAATCAATAGGCTCTAAAAATATATTTTTGGTAAAATATACAGGGTGTCCTAAATATGGCGCACTATCACTACATTACATAATAGGAGATATCATTTTGAGAATAAATTATTTTTCTAATAAGATGTTTTTAAGTTAATAAACCCTCTGTAAATTGTAAATAATAATAAAAGCGGTTGCTAAAACAAACAAAATAATAGAGATAAAATTAACATGATTGTCAGATGTATTTCATGATAGTTTAAAAATAGTTATATTAAACATCATAATTAAGAAATATCGCGTGATGTCCCAGCAAACACATAAGTCTGGTAATGTAATGGCCCATTACAGCGTTTAATGGTTAAATGATGGCATTTTTAACCCAAGCTGTTCTTGTACTGGGCCTCTACAGGAATTTTTCGTTAATAAATGTCAATTTAGTCCAAAGGCTGTCGTGGTAAGGTCTTGCAATGGCCCTTTTCAGGCAATGATATGTATAATTTAACATTAAAGGCCCACATATGGCAATTATAAGTATCAAGTTAATGGAACTGTAACACACCATTACAGTGCCAAATGTTTTCCTTTGCTTTACACCATATTTACTAATGAATTGCCTCATGTTAGTGGTATTATGCATATGCATATAGAAAAATAATTTAGGTTTTGAGATATATTAATTAATTATCTAATAGGTGTATTTTATAATTAGTTATTAATGAACTAAACAACTAGGTAGTACCTTTTTCAAGTAAGTATTTTTACTGTACAATTTTTACATTAATGTCGTACTATTTAATAACCTAGGAAATAGCTATTTCAAGTGACCTATTTTAAAATTTCAAATCTTCTTTTAGCGCACCATGTTTTGAATATTAAACCCTATTTAATTATCTCTATTCAAAACGAAGCTTTTTTCTAGAAAAACCTGCAAATTAGAATCCCATTATAAGACCATGCCTACAGTGCACTGCAATCGTCAATGATTTAGCAATAGAATAGAGATCTCTTATGCATGTGATTTAGCCATATATCCATTGTGCTAAAGACTGTACTAGAGACTAGATTTATCTACTTAATTTGTTTTGGTGTTCAATTTAATTCATTCGATTCCTTAGAAATAGAAACTGTTGAAATTTGATTTTATTTTATAATATTTGTTAAGTTTTTTTTTATTTAAATATGTTATAATTATGTTTAAATTACATGTATTTTATAACACATTGTATTTTTTAATTTTTTGAAAGTTTTAGGGACATTAATGGAATTCCATGATAACGAAATTTTTGCAATATAGTAAAGTACCTATCTATTATGGTGGATTAAATTTGGTAGGTATATATTTATTAGGTCGGATATTACACGATAATCGGGAATTTTTATCCCTACCGTCAAAAATCGGTCGGGATAAAATATTTCAATTATCATGGAATATCCGTACCTAGTAAATATATAGGTACCACATTTAATCCGACATAATAGGTACTTTACTTATCCATTAAATAATATTTAACTAACCACTATAGAATCTTTAACACCCCATATAAGAACCTTTAGCTTGCCACATTTGTACCTTTAACCTGCCATATCGGAACCTTTACCGGCTCTTGTAAGTGTCTTTATCGACTGCCGTCACATGCCCATAAAAGGTGAACGCGACATAATATGTAGAGGTCCATTAAAGTCAGCCTTTGTAGGGCCTTTAGTTTATTAAAGGCACGCGTTTAAAGGGCCATTACAGAACCTTTACAGTTGTGTTTGCTGGCGTGGTTTGCCATTTTCAGGACACCCTTTATAACACAGTTTTATATTTCCAAGGGCTTATTTTTTTCATTGCAAACTTATTTCTATTTAATATAAAAGATATTTATTATAGTGAAAATAAGAATTTTGCTTATAACTATTTTTCTTATATACTTTATTAAAATTTACACCTGACTGGACTATAGTTAGTACTAAATATTATAAATGTTATATCACAAAATTCGGTTTAAGTAAAGTTTTGTGTGGTAACAAAATTAGGGCATTTGGTTGTATACTATATAAATACTCTTTTTCTTATAAAACATGTGTTTAAGTCTTTGGACCTTAAATTGAAGTTAATTAAGTTATTTTTATTTTGTATTATGAAAATATCACTTTTTGATACAAGCTAAATAAAAATCACAATTTATTGTTATTGGCAAGATTTATAATAATTTATATTTTTATCTTGAACCTTCCAGTTGTGATTTTACGAAACGTCCAATATGTTGTAAAGAAACAAAAGTTTTGTTTGGTGTTAATCTTTGCCTTAACAAATAAAATCCTACTCCTCTAAATAATAAAAGGGTAAATACTAAAGTGGCAATATCCACCCAAAATATTGTATTTTCCATGCCCATTTCTCTAATAAAGTAATTTAAATCATTGAATATGCAGTGATCTTCTGTTTCCGGGCACTCCAACTTGGGTCTGTCTTTAAGCATGGAATCTATAAGGGCTTCTAATGAGTATCTGAGGTAACTGAAGTACATTGCCACTCTTATCAGGCTTGGTATGCTATTATAACCCGATCCAAAACCATATACTGCCAGCAACATCAATGGCACAACCGCTACAGGTCCAACAAACATACTATTCTAAAAACAAAAAATATATATTAACAGGGCAGTGTGGAATACAAAAAAATACTTATATTGTTTTACTAGAAAAATAGATTAAAAGTTAAGGTTCAGGAATTCAGAATTCTGCCAATCACTACTGTTTGCGAAGACTTGCTATTAAGTCGAGAGAAGTTTAATGTATACTAAATTATTAAAAGAGTGAAAAGATAAAGCGTCAATAATAGATATTTACTATTCGTGGTTGTGTCGGTGTTCCGTCAATTCATCGCGCGAAAATTCATCATATAAGTGGATCACAAAAACGATGAAAATTGTTTTCCCTTAAAATAGTAGATTATGTCATAAGGAGTAGAAGTGACTCTTTTTGTGGTGAGTACAGAGATTGACGGCCGAAGCGTAGCTGAGGCTGACAACTGTACGAAGCACAAAAAGAGCTTCTACTCCAAATAACATATACGGGTAATTCCATTTATTAGCCACCAATGAGTGCACCTCATATACTCTAATTTTATTTCTTTTTTAACTGTCAATAGACATGGACCCAAGAAGTGAAAAAAACTCCCCTTTTCTTTTCTCCCCCTATCACCTATTTATACAGGGCTACGCAAAAGTTACTATGCATACCTAACTTAAAAAAATTGTACTTTTTTTGCTAATAAAGCTATCGACATTAAACAAAGTGTTAATTGTTAAGAAAATATTTCTCTTTTAAAGCATATAGGACACATTTAGTTATTGATGCCCTAAATGGTCTTTGGGTTTTTTTTTAAAATGCAAATTTTTGGCAAAATTGTCTAATTTTATAAATTCATATATTCTTAGAAAAACTTGCCAGCAAAATTTTTTTAATGTAGTTTGATACCATAGATCTTACTCTATATAAAAGCAATGAAATCATTTTCAAATAATATTGGCTAAGTGTTCAAAAAAATATAATAAAAATCCATGTTTTCGAAAAATCACTATTTTCAGCCATTTCATGCTTAAAAAGGCTATGTTTGAGTGAGTCGATTTAAACCAATTTATGCTTATCATCACATGCACTTATTAGCCTCCAATAACCATTAATGAAATTATTGTGTATTTTGCTTTTAACTGGGCTGTGGCTGTATGTACAGCCCAGCTATAAGCAAAATACACAATATACCCACCTGACTTTCAGCCATTTCATGGTTTAAAAAGGCTATGTTTGAGTGAGTCGATTTAAACCAATTTATGCTTATCATCACAGGCACTTATTGGTCTCCAATAATCATGAATAAAATTATTATGTATTTTTCTTTTAGCTGGGCTGTGGATGTATATGTCCACCTGTGACTATATCCATATTATTAACCATATATTTCGAAAAAGCGTATTACATCTTTAAAATAACTTGACAGCCTTGAATTGACTTCTAATTCATTCTAAATAAAAATATAAAATATAAAAACCACATACAGTGGCGTCGAAAATTAACTACCCATTTATTTATTTTTTAAATTAAGAAAACATAATCAAATGTACAAAAAATGTACATAATCAAATTTTGATTATGTTTTCTTAATTTAAAAAATAAATAAATGGGTAGTTAATTTTCGACGCCACTGTATGTGGTTTTTATATTTTATATTTTTATTTAGAATGAATTAGAAGTCAATTCAAGGCTGTCAAGTTATTTTAAAGTTTATGGTTAATAATATGGATATAGTCACAGGTGGACATATACATCCACAGCCCAGCTAAAAGAAAAATACATAATAATTTTATTCATGATTATTGGAGACCAATAAGTGCCTGTGATGATAAGCATAAATTGGTTTAAATCGACTCACTCAAACATAGCCTTTTTAAACCATGAAATGGCTTAAAGTCAGGTGGGCATATTGTGTATTTTGCTTATAGCTGGGCTGTACATATAGCCACAGCCCAGTTAAAAGCAAAATATACAATAATTTTATTAATGGTTATTGGAGGCTAATAAGTGCATGTGATGATAAGCATAAATTGGTTTAAATCGACTCACTCAAACATAGCCTTTTTAAACCATGAAATGGCTGAAAATAGTGATTTTTCGAAATCATAGATTTTTATTATATTTTTTTGAACTCTTAGCCAATATTATTTGAAAATGTTTTCATTGCTTTTATAAAGAGTAAGATCTATGGTAACAAACTACATTAAAAAAATTTTGCTGGCAAGTTGTTCTAAGAATATATGAATTTATAAAATTAGACAATTTTGCCAAAAAATTGCATTTTTTAAACAATTCCCAAAGACCATTTAGGGCATCAATAACTAAATGTGTCCTATATGGTTTAAAAGAGAAATATTTTCTTAACAATTAACAGTTTGTTTAATGTCGATAGCTTTATTAGCAAAAAAAGTACAATTTTTTTAAGTTAGATCTGCATAGTAACTTTTGCGTAGCCCTGTATAAATAGGTGATAGGGGGAGAAAAGAAAAGGGGAGTTTTTTTCACTTCTTGGGTCCATGTCTATTTACAGTTAAAAAAGAAATAAAATTAGAGTATATGAGGTGCACTCATTGGTGGCTAATAAATGGAATTACCCATACAATTTTTTTTCAAGGGCGTAATATAAATAGGATAAGAAATAGAAATATTTTATTTACTCATAACTCATGTGGTATAAAATTTTGGCAAAAGCATTAGAAATTATTGATAAAACTAAAAAAACTTATAACCCTTACTTACAATGCCCATAAATTTCCTAAACTAAAAATAAACACTGCTGTGTCAAAATGCTGAGCTTGAATTAATTTTGACATACTGACATTTGTTTAGAGTTCCGACATTGGCGACTCGTCTATCATCATAATATTATACTAATAAACTAGTTTTTCTTTATTTCATTCAATTAAAATTTAATAAATAATCACTAAATATTCCGTGCGATTATAATTAATATAATTATTACATCGTGATTGCTTTGTATGAAATGCTAAATTAATTTTATTATTTGACGTCTATTGAGACACCTATGGATTTACTTCTATCCCTAGGCTTTTTTGAGTTTTTGTCTGCCGCTAATGAAAAAGACGCACTTCAACTATCTCTATACAGGCATATAAGGTTGTATATAATGGCCGCTTGAAAAAATAGTAGATTAGGGGCCGTTCATTAATTACGTGAGGTGTTTAGGGGGGGAGGGGGTCGAGCCAAACCTCACCAAATCTCACGTGGGGGGAGGGGGTGTCTCGGCAAATATCACGTAATTTTTTTTCCGAAAGAAAAAATTTAAAATTGCTAGAAAACTGGGTTAAATTAAGTAAACAATTATAAGCAAATTGTTTTTTAATAAATCTAATGGAATTAAGCACAGATTAACTTATTTACATTAAAACCATGCATTTTAAAAAATCTCACGTGAGATTAAGGGAGGGGGAGGGGGGTCGAGCAAAATCTCACGACATCTCATCAAGGGGAGGGGGGGGTCGAAAAATCGCCAAAATTGTCTCACGTAATTAATGAACGGTCCCTTATGTCATAAGGAGTAGAAGCGACTCTTTTTGTGGTGAGTACAGAGATTGACGGCCGAAGCGTAGCTGAGGCAGGCAACTGTACGAAGCACAAAAAGATCTTCTACTCCAAATAACATATACAATTTTTTTTTCAAGGGCGTAATATAAATAGGATAAGCAATGGAATTATTTTATTTACTCTTAACTCATGTGGTATAAAATTTTGGCTAAAAGCATTAGAAATTACCCTGCTTAAAATACCCCATAGAGACCCTGTTCAAACCGATAGATATTTGTATCGGGATGTATGGTGTTTCTATAGGGTGTATCGGTTTGTATAGGACCCATAGTTGAGATTTATGGTTGTTCTATAGGGATATCCACCATTGATTTATTTGCTATCGGTTTCAATGGGGAAAATACACATAAATGTAGAAATTAGTTTTTTCCCTATAGGACCCCATAGGTTTTAATAAAATTTAGTCAAATGTTTTATGGTTGTTCTATAGGGATATCCCTATAAATCCTTCATTGAGTTATTTTCTATCGGTCTCAATAGGGAAAATGTAAAAGTTATGGTGTGCCTATAGGTAATTTCCTATACATTTTCTATAGGGCTGTATCCGGAAAAAACCTTGGACAAATGCACATATTGAAACCGGTAGCGCCCTATAGAATATTTTGTATAGGTCTCTATGGGGTATTTTAAGCAGGGTATTGATAAAAACTAAAAAAACTTATAACCCTTACTTACAATGCCGATAAATATCCTAAACTAAATATAAACCCTGCTCTGTCAAAATGCTGCGCTTGAATTAATTTTGACGTACTGACATTTGTTTGGAGTTCCGACATTGGCAACTCGTCTATCATCATAATATTATACTAATAAACTAGTTATTCTTTATTTCGTTCAATTAAAATTTAATAAATAATCACTAAATATTCCGTGCGATTATAATTAATATAATTAATACAACGTGATTGCTTTGTATGAAATGCTAAATTAACTTTATTATTTGACGTCTATTGAGACACCACTCAAAAAAGCCTAGGGATAGAAGTAAATCCATAGGTGACCTATGGATTTACTTCTATCCCTAGGCTTTTTTCAGTTTTTTGTCTGCCGCTAATGAAAAAGACGCACTTCAACTATCTCTATACAGGCATATAAGGTTGTATATCATGACCGCTTAAAAAATATATATTTTTTACATATTTTTATGTTAAGGCAATAAGCAGGGTAAGTTTTTAGGGGGGCGACAGGGGCGATCGCTTCCCTAAATAGAAATATTGACTTTATTTTGTAACCTATTGTGAACCTTCTTATTAGAGATGATACAAATCAGTATTTTTTGGAAACAGGTATGTCGCATAACAGGTCCAAGTCCATACCTGTTCCAAATACTTGTTAATTTAATACCTATTATTTTCAGCCGAGCGTATCGGAGCTTGTTTCTAATATTACTGGTTGCTAGTCGGTATCAGCAACAACTAATCCTGAGTACCCCATCGCGAACTAGTTTCAGCTAGAGTCATGAAGCACTACATGT